TGGATACGCGTCTAGTTCACTTAATCCTAAATTACTGGCTAAATTACAGGTGAGTTACTCACATTCATCCAGAGACTGATGGAGCTCTTGGAGGTCTTTTGCTTGTTTCAACATCCCAAACATGTCTCCCTGCTCAAGAGGGAGCGATCCCCTTTTAGCCCTTTTCTCACTTCATTGCTAAGCTCCAACCAAAACCAGTATCCTCAGAACAGGGCTGATGCCGGCCAGTTAGTTTGAAAAACATCAGCAACCCAGGTGAAGTGACCAGTACTTCATGGGTACTTGGGTGGGAAGCTGGAACAAGAGGAGGACCAAATTCCCACTCCCAAAGGAGTCACCTCGGTGACCAGGGGATCCAGCAACCAGAGCACGCAACCAGAGTGGGGACTGGGCAGACTCCCAGTAAGGAGGCCACCAAAAAACCAGGGATTTCTCCACAATCAGCACATCCATTTGTCTTCTAGGTTTTTTGCAGTGTTCTTCACAGAGATGACAGCGCATTGCAGAAAAAAGGCTGAGCTGAATCCTGCTCTGCAACGGTGATCTGAGCCACCTGATATGCTGTCGTGGACTGCTTCGATATATGGTGGTTTTTCTAGAGTCAAGGTCAAGGCAAGGGTGTTACACCATGTCTTCAGAGCAGGGCAAGTTACAGATTCATACCTCCGGTTCCCCATGACAAAACTTATGGTATTAATTGTTTCTCACTGAAGAGGTAAACAGACATTGCCCAATTCCCAGGCTTTTGAGGAGTGGGTCTGCGCTTTGAGAGTGCACAATTACTTGTATATTTACCACGTATAGCTGCTCAAGCATAGGTTGGGGCAGATAAAACAAGCGTTTCAATTGAAAAGAGAAGCGGAGCATTTACCGAGCTGCAAGCTGATCTTTGTAGCTGTTTCATATACCTGTTCCATCCCAGAGCAAGCGAAGTTAATCCATGGTAATTTGGCAGCTGTTTCATTGTAGGGAAAACTTACTGATGGATGGGAGTAGACGCATGAAACAGTTACAGCTGATCATCTGTCACCGGCTCATGTGCAAAGAGAGAATTATGGCATCTGCCCAAGCCAGGAACTTATTGAATGTGTCTGGAAAGTGCAGGTGGTCTCAGGGGGGTGGGAAACAGCCTTCCTAGTGCTGCATGACTCTGGACACATCATGTAACTTCCATATGCTCCAGTTTCTTTATGGGTCGTGGACCCCATGACCTACTCCACTGCACCAGGTCCAGTGTAATTCATACTACTTCTACTTACAGGAGCTGGAGCAGAGATGAGGGCTAATGTCAGATCTGAATACCAGCAGCCACACATTCACAACAGGGCTCGCATGGGACTTCAATAGTGCACGGGTCCTATGCTGGCCCCCCGCACAGGAATGAATGCCGGCCTAGAGTTAATTCCAGCATGACGTCAAGCTCACGTGAGCTGTTTTCTGGCTTCCCTTTGGACAAGACAGTGAGAAACCAATCTCAAGCCGCTCGATGACGGCAGTCCGAAGTCACTAGATGGCAGCAGCCAACCTGAGCAATATTGAGAGACAGGAAACAGGTCAACATTTTTTTAAAGACTTACTGAGTTTTCACATGACTCAGAAACCCCAAACTTAGTGTGTCACCCTCATGGAGAGTCGGGGCCCCCGGACCCCAGTGGCCAGGCTACAGTAATACTGAAATAGGGTTAAAGACGATCTGAGAGGGAAAATGCACATGCTTTTTCTGAGACTTCTTTAGAGGCACAAAAAGTTTGCCTCCAATAAAAGGGGTCCGTTTTCTTCCCTATCAGAAATCCAGCTCTTGCCCATCCTCCTTCCTGGGCGGCTGCAAACAAAGACTCACAAGCAGCACAAGCACCGATGGTGATAGCACGAGAACTATTCATCCCATCCAGGAAGAGCACGCACCAACTGCAGAGACTTCCTCAGCCTGACGAAGGGTTTTTAAACCTGAAAGCTTGCTAAGAAGTTTTTCCCAACTATTTAAATTGGTCTAATAAAAGAAATCAGATTCACCCAAAGAACCTTGTCTGCCTGTGTCCTTAGACTAACATGGCTACAACCTACACCCCAAGCACCAATGGAGATTTTTCAGACAGTTTGAGAGAGAATAAACACACACGCACAGTCTTTAATAACAGCCATTTCATCCAGCTGTCTGAGAAGCCACTATGAGCACAGCTCTTTGAAATCCCCACCCCTTTGGAGAAGGGCTGAATGAGTTTAGTTTCCTGACCTCTAAATGGTGCCTTTGTTTTCTGGACAAGATGTTACCTGCTATTCCTGTAAGAGGGCTACAACAATATACAGAGCTCCGTTCCCGGAGTGGAAGGATTTACAAGCTTCATTTTCAGTCTGTGTGGAGGTGCTTTCTTTGCTGGAAGAAGGCCGCACACGCCGTGTTCAGTTCCCGCTGCTCATCTCCACCTCTGCTTTCAGGCCTGATCCTGCATGGTGTAGAAGCCTTAGTCTCAACACCCAAAAATACAAATTTAGGTGCATTAAAAAACCCCCCACTAGGTAAGAGTGCTAGAAGTGGCCTGAAATAATCTGCTCACTCTCACATGCTGAGCTGCTGACTGTGATGCCAACTTGCCTGCATGCTCAGAGCTAGTCCAACGGCAGCACTGCAGGAAATACATTTGGGAAAGAGGAGCAAACACTTGCACAATGCAAGGGTCGTGCATCTGGAGGCTCTGGTGTGGCCCTTCCTGATTTTGCCAGGTCAGGCCCCCCCGGAGTCACCAGGAGCAGATCCTGAAAAGGCCCTAAGAGCCTGCAGTGGGATTTCAGAGGCACCCAAATTCCAGCTGAGTCCAAACTTGCATTCCTGAACATCCCCATTCAGCTGCCCCTGGTCCTCAGGGCACCTCAATGCCATGGGCACCTGCCTATTGGGTCCCGGGGACCTAATGCTCTGCTTCTCTGTGTGTCCAGAGGCCCCACAGTCTCATCAGTGCTGATCAGGATCCCAAAACCAGGTGTCTCCCCATCACAGTTCCCCAAGGGGCCTCTGAGCACGTCTAATACACCTCCAGGCTCCAGCTCCACTCATGGTCCAGCAGCAGCCACAGGCTTGTTTTAAAACACAGCTGGAGGTAGAGCCCTTCCTGGCTACCCAGGATGTAGCAAGCCCAGAAATTGCTGGCCATGCATGGTGCATACACGGCGCGGCAACCCCTGGCCCCGCCTGGGCTGTGGAAGAATTGTGCAAGAAAATAAAGAGCAGGTCCAAGAGAGACCCAGGGAGAGCACAGAGGGGTCCGATGCCCAGCTAGCCCTGCCACCGTGCCATCGGAGAGGTGAGCTTTTGAACACCTGCCTCAATTCTGACTCCCCGGTGTGCGGTTCATCCCCAAGAAGAGCCACTCCCATCATTCACTTTGATACTGGAGCACAGGGTGAGAAGACGATGTCTTCACTGCCACCTTAAACATTAATCTGTGGGCAAGTATTTGCAAGAAGATGGATCCGTGCGGCTGCAGCAATGTCACATGGCAACATGCCCGTGGGTGGCTTGTCCGTGCATTACACAAGTCTCAGGCTTTTGTTTTACTGGAGCTTTGTTACTCCAGGCAACGAGCTCCCAGGTATAGCAATTGCTCTGAGACCAGCTCAAAACTAGGCATGAAGTTCCTCAGATTCCTTCCTGCTTGGGACACATCGGTATTTCATCAGCAAACATTACTTCATCTTTAAGAACAGGCCCTTGAAGACCAGCTTGAAGCTTTGTGTTTGGTTTTTAAATCAAGACATTACAAGATCCAGCATGGATTAAAGCATTTCCCTCAAAGTCCCATCATTTTCACAGGTGATTCCCCTTCTGTAACATAGTCGCTGCAACATTGCACGGGAAAAGGGTTTGCAGGGGACTGAAAAGCACATTCAGGTTTCTAGGGGGTTAGCGGCCTTTTTAAGCTGTCTGGTTCAAACAAAACCACGTTCCCCAACAGTGCTGTAGCAAGGGGGCGGGCCAGGCGCCGAAGCAAAGGGGAGCCAGCAGGTGCTGCCCAGCCAGGGCAGGGTGTGGGACCATTTTGGGGAGGCGCAGGGACAGGGCAGCTCCCGCTGCTGCCTGCGCCCCACGGATCCGCATGCGGGCTGCTGCTGCGGGCACCAAACTTGATTGTTGCGGCATCCGTTCCCCGAGTCCGTGCTATGCCCGAAACGGATCATTTGGGTCTTTGTGGAGCCCTTGTTTTAAAACCCTGGGGGTATAAGGCCTGAGATGCTGCAAAAAGGAGCCAGAGCTGGCCTCCCCACCGGTTTCCATGCTATCCCATGTGGTTTCCGGTGCAAGAGCAGGCCCACGTGGCGGGTGTGTCCGTGCCGGTGAGCTCAGCGCAGCACTCACACGAGCGTTACTCGTCTCATGGGGCCGAGGCCCTGCCCAGGCTTCGACGCCTGCGTTCACCGAGCTGTCGGTGGTGTCCACAGACTCCCCGGCCAGCAGCTCTCCTCCTCGGCTGCTCCTAGGGCTGGTCCAGACCCCGGGCAGAGAACTGAGCCTTCACCCAGGCGGGAAGGGGAGAGAGGAAGCCGGCTGCAAGGGCAGGCAGCACCCGGGGTCTCAGCTGGACACTCAGGGCCAAGTGGCCTCCCTCCACCGGGCAGCAAGGCCTGGGCAGCTTCCAGTGCCTGGCTGTGCCCCCACTTCCAGCTGTGCTCCCCCTCCAGTTGTACCCCCGCCCCAGCTGTGCCCTTCTAGCTGTGCTCCCCTTCCAGCTGTGCCCTTCTAGGCGTACCCCCCTTTCCAGCTGTGCCCCTTCTAGCTGTGCTGCCCTTCCAGCTGTACCCTTCTAGGTGTACCCCCCTTTTCCAGGTGTGCCCGCCCCGCCCCACATCTGTCCGCCCTCCAGTCTGATGCAACCACAACACCACCACGTGGCCACAACAGCTGTTCCCCGCTCCGGCCAATCGCCGCCGGCCCCGCTGGCTCAGGGGGCGGGGCCCCGCCCCGCGCCCCCCCCCC